TAAACAAGTGTCGTCTCGCAGATCGGAACGGAAGGACGGGGAAAGAGTCCTGAGCAAGTCCGTCAGTTTTTTTCCCCTTTTTCTTTGCGAGAGATCCCGCAGCCGCGATAGCTTTATGTAATGACGATTGAAATGAACGAACGTCGATTCGAACACTCGAAAATAATAACGAATTAATAATGGAGTGATGATAAAGAGCATACGTTAATGAAGCTTTTGAAGTAGCTGAAGAAACATTTGATTAATTCCTTTAAATCTTATTTTCTGCTAGTTCAGAAGTTCAGTATTATTTTGAATGTTTTCTTGGTCTTCGAATTTTTACATATTACAGATCGTTCCTTTGGTGAAGAGAATAATTTGACGTTTATCGTTATTGACAGGTGATCAGTAAGTTGTGCCACTATCCTTGAATCGCGCGAGAATAAGACAGTCATGGAGTCGTCAGATAGGAAGAACGTGTATCTTACGAAGACCGGCGACAACTCTTTGAACTCTGGAATGAGGGAGACTATGATCGTCGGCCAGGCCAACATGGCACCAGGTATATATAGGTGGAATAAGAGTCGTGTAGATTCACCCTGCTGTATACCACCATAGTGTACCACCGCCTACGTATTTCCTTTGCAGAATGCGGTGGAGAAGGTGTGATGAAGTCCAATAACGTGACCAACGTTTCCGCTAATCAGGCAAAGTGGTCTAATACTCCTGGCCCTAAAAATTACATCATCAACTCGGTGCCGGTGAAGAACGAGGTGCGATATAATACTTCAACAGTAATTGAGTTTGTAACAACAAACTCAAATATAGAGAAACATATTGCGATTCAAAAAATCTATTGGAGAAAAAAGGAGAGAAATTGTTATTTAAATTAGGGCCCTAACTGACCGTTATAAGTGAAAAATGTATTAATAAATTCCTTGTGATCTTTGCAATAATTGCAATTGGTATTGGGTCCATTTTGCAGATCGTACATCTCGAAGACGGTAATGCGCATTGCAACAACAAGAAAGTGTATTACTATGATAGACATTACACCGGACACGAGGAGCCAGAGAGGCCGACGCGTAGAGGAACGAAGAGATACAGGGACAAGGATGCACCAAAACGAGCGTTGTACGTTGAATTAAAAATGTTGAATCAATAATCAGACAGAATTGTACTTTGAAGATGTAGCATTGATAATGTTATTTAGCTCTTCTGTCTTGTGATTTTATCAGTGGTTTTTGTAAACGCCTGAGCAAGATATGTCGATACAAAAAATATTTAATAAATGTTGAAGCACTTACGATACTTACCGCGATTCTACATCGATACGTTACAGATCTGCATTTTTCTACTTCTGCCAAGAGCTGCGCGGCAAGATGAGAGAATTGCACCCCGAGATGGGAGTAGGTGATATTGCAAAGGAATTAGGAAAATTGTGGATGAGCACGGATCTACAGACAAAATCCAAGTACATGGCCATCGCGGAGGAGGATAGAGCCCGATACGAAAGGGTATGTTTAAACTAATATGTGCTTGAAACATTCCGAATGATTTTAATTCTGTGGATCTCTCCGTTAATGTATGGATAATTGTTCGTCTTTACGCATGAAATTAACGAAACAATTTTTTAATGCGCAGGAAATCATCGCCTACAACAAGAGAGTTAAAAATTACGACCCGGAAGAAGTTGGGACCGTATAAATCGTAATGCGGACCCATGGGACGGACAAGGATGACAACATTTATTCTAATTCGAGTATTCGAATGCAACAGATGAGCTGCAACAGACGAGCGAGGGTTCATGCTTGCGACAGACAAGCGAGTTTTACTACTAACCTAGAATTATCGTTGTATATATTATGTATACTGTTGATATTGTCCGAAAAAGAAAGAAATTGTGTCACAAAAATTCGGTTATATACTTACGATGATAGAAAAAAAGAGCCAAATTCGAAAAAAAAGCGAGTTCCATTTTATATATGAATTTCTATATCATACGCAGACGCTATATTATATATATGACTAACATGTTCTTTTATATATAATTATGTATACTTTACATATGATTATATGATATGTATCTATTCCATACGATAGATATATGTCACGAAATAATATATAGATATACATCTATTATATATAATTATATATAATAAGCACAATAGATTCTTGATTATCCAGATCTATTTCATCGAACATTTTGATTATTCGAACGTTCTTTATACTACTCGTGTAATCTAGCATTCAGTCGATCGAGCGTTCGAATGATCAAGATTTTACTACATACATTTTAAGTATATAATAAGAATAATAGTAAATCAGATAACTGCTATTATACTGCATTAATATTAAGCAATGATAACGATAATAGTAACGTTCGAGAATAATAAAAACGTACATATTGCACCATGCACCTATATTGCATTGTAGAGTTACAGTAGATTGCTTCGCCGAAACACAAGAAATAATGCGAACGAAAGAGATTAATCGGAACAATAAGGAAGAATCAGGATAATTCTGTATTAGGATCGAGCTACGTGCAACATACGAATTTTGTCACAGAAGATTATTAAGGATAATTTCGCTACCTCGTAATAATTGATTTTATCGGCGGAAATAATTTGATGATGCAGTGGGCAAGAATAAGTATGCGTTGTATTGCGAAATTGATTATCAATTGTTTGGACGACACTTATTACTTCAAACAGAGCATAGGAACACTAAACATATTAAAATTAAGAGACGGTTAATATAACAATATGTAGCATTTTCAACATAGTTATTACAGCACCATAATAATTAACCGTGATAGAGAATTATACAAATTTTTGATATTTGTTAGATTTAAAGTTCGTCGAAAACGGACAATCTCTAATAAAATATCTTGTTAAAAGAAGATGTCTTTTTGCAAAATCATTAGCTTCAAACAATTTAGAGATATCAAATCAAAATGTAATTTGATAACGTTAAAAGCTTCCTTTATTTCGCCGCTGTAGTAACATTAGGCAACAAATATTTTGTTGACTAGACAGTTATTTTTTCCATATTTCTTCGTTATCAGTGTTGAAGATTTGATTAAATGTATACCGTTTTCCGCTTATAGTAAGTTATCGAA